GGACTACACTGATCTCAACAAAGCATGCCCCATGGATCCATTCCCGCTACCAAACATTGATCAATTGGTGGATGAGACCGCGGGGTGTGAAATCATGTCCTTCCTCGATGCCTTCCGAGGGTACCACCAAATATTCATGCACGAGGAGGACGCCGAAAAAACTGCCTTCATGACTCCCGAGGGCATCTTCTGCTACCTAGTGATGGCCTTCGGCCTAAAGAACTCAGGGGCCACTTACACCCGGATGGTGGCCCGGGTCTTTCAAGCCGTCCTAGGGCGCACCATGGAGGCCTATGTCGACGACATGATCGTCAAGAGCAAGCAATCTTCCAGTCATGCTGACGACCTCCGGGAAATTTTTGCCATCATGCAAAAATTCAACCTTCGGCTAAACCCGAAGAAGTGCACCTTCGGCGTCCAAGGGGGCAAATTCTTAGGCTACATGGTGAGCCGAAGGGGTATTGAGGCCAATCCCGAGAAGATCCAGGCCATCATCAACATGGAGCCCCCACGTAACGTGAAGGAAGTTCAACGGTTGACGGGCCGCCTGGCAGCCCTCAACCGCTTCCTATCTAAATCGGCAGAGAAGTCTCTACCCTTCTTCCAGATCATGAGGAAGACGGCTGGCTTTCTATGGACTCCAGAATGCCAGGGGGCTTTCGACGAGCTAAAGAGATAGCTATCTTCACCCCCTGTGCTCTCCAAACCCAAGGTAGGGGAGACCCTCTACCTCTACCTTGGGGTTAGCCCGGTAGCCATCAGCTCTGTGCTCATCCGGGAGGAAGACGGCATCCAACATGCCATCTTCTACGTTAGCAAGACCCTAAGGGAGGCCGAGCTCAGGTACTCCCCTGTGGAAAAAAAGGTGTTGGCCATCGTTTGGACTGTCAAGAAGTTGGGCCACTACTTTCAGGCTCACCCAGTTCAGGTCCTCACTCATCAACCCCTCGGCGCCCTCATGAGGAGCCCCACCAGCTCCTCCCGCATGGTTAAATGGGCTATCTTCTTGAGCCAGTACAACATTGACATCCGTCCAAGGCCTGCCATCAAGGGCCAAGCCCTAGCGGACTTTGTGACGGAATGTACCGCAAGGGCAGCCACGGACGGGGAGCCCTCGGCAACCTCGGACGACTGGTGGACCCTCTACACTGACGGCTCCTCCGCGACCAAAGCATGCGGGGGAGGGGTAGTCCTCATTACTCCCGAGGGCTTCAGGGCTTACTATGCAATCCGCTTCTCCTTCAAGGTCTCCAACAATGAGGCCGAATATGAGGCCCTCCTATGTGGCCTTCGGCTGGCTGCCAACATGAGGGCTCGGCAGATCCACATCAAATGCGACTCCAAGTTGGTCGTTGGCCAAATCTCCGAAGAATATGAGGCCAAGGAGGGAAGAATGAAACAGTACAAGGAAGCGGCCAAGGAGTTGCTTAAGGTATTTGAGGCACACTCTCTCACTCAAATACCGAGGGCTCAGAACTCCGAGGCCGACATATTATCTAAGCTCTCGGCCGACTCCCCCGAGCACATCTCCAAAATTGCCAAAATCGAGGAACTCAGTCTCTCAAGCATCCATGCAAGCCCCGTTATGAACATACAACAGCGTCAGGAGGATTGGATCTCAGATATCACCATCTTCATCTCCACAGGGCAGCTACCCGAGAATGAGGCCCGCGCTAAACTGGCAAAGCTGAGGGCTCCCAGCTACACCATCGAAGATGGAAGGCTCTACAAACGATCTTACAATGGCACGCTACTTCGGTGCCTTCATCCAGATGAAGCCGAGGTCGCAATGGAGGAAGTGCACAGTGGCACTTGCTCAGCTCACCAAGGACCCTTCTCCATGTCCCGAAGGCTCATTCTCCAGGGCTACTTCTGGCCAACCATGGCCAGGGATTGTGCTGACCTTGCCCGGAGGTGCACCGCATGTCAACATTTCCAGAAAGCCCCCGGCAGGCCAGCGGTCAACTATGCCCCCATCAGCACATCTGTCCCATTTTCTCGATGGGGGATAGACCTTGTGGGCCCTCTGCCGAGGGGTACCTCCAACAACAGATACATCATTGTGGCCGTCGACTATTTTACCAAGTGGGTGGAGGCTGAACCCCTCGCCAGCATCACAGAGGCGAAGTGCCGTCACTTCGTCCTCAAGAACATCCTCACAAGGTTTGGCGTCCCCCAGCAGATCATCTCCGACAGTGGAACACAATTTGAGGCAGCCCCCTTCCGTGCCCTTCTGGAGGCGTGGGGCATCAAACACACCTTCTCCTCCGTTGCCTACCCTCAAGGCAACGGGCAGGTAGAGAACGCCAACCGGACCTTGCTCGAGGGCCTCAAGAAGAAGCTGGAGGCCGAGGGTGGTGGCTGGGTGGAAGAACTTCACAACATCCTCTGGGCCTACCGCACTACCCCTCGGCGCGCTACAGGTGAAACACCCTTCTCCCTCTGCTACGGTTTTGAAGCCAAAGCTCCTACGGAAGTCACCCTTCCTACCCGAAGGGTGATCCAATATGACCCCGAGGTCAACGACAGCAACATGGCCCTCGACCTGCACCTCATTTCAGAGCGCCGGGAGCGGGCCTTCATCCGGGCAGAAAACTACCGAAGGCAAGTTAAAAGCTACATCGACGCCAAAGTTCGAACCCGGGAATTTCAAGTGGGGGACTATGTCCTCCGGAGGAGAGAAGCCAGCCAACCAACCGAGGGAGGAAAAATGGCACCAAAATTCGAAGGCCCCTACATCATAGCAGTCATCATCAAACCCGGGACTTACAGACTCAAACGCCCCAACGGGAAAGAGGTCTCTAGGCACTGGAATGTACACCATTTAGTTAAATTTTATCAATAATGTAAGAGCGGCCAAGCCCTCATAACTAGTGAATGTACTATCCAATGGCCCAAGGCCTCCAATTTCGAAGAATGAAGATACATTCAAGACATCAAGCCCTCATACTGACTACAGGCCCCAGGCCTCACCACAAGAAGAACCCCCTCCGGTACCCAGTGCCGAGGGCGGACACCATCAACACATACAACAAACAGTAGAAACACCACGTGTTTTCAGTCAAGACCCCTCGGCACCCAGTGCCGAGGGTACTTCCCCACCTCCAACATCAAAAAAGAAAAGATGGGAACACCAAGTGTTCCTACAGAAGACCCTTCGGCACCCAGTGCCGAGGGTACACCTCCCTCATCAAATATCGAAACGAAGAAAAAACACCAAGTGTTTCACAGAAGACCCCTCGGCACCAAGTGCCAGGGATATGCTCTCCTAACAGCTTCCGAACATCTATTGGGAAACACCAAGTGTTTCATTTGAAGACCCTTCGGTACCAAGTACCGAGGGTAGACGCCTACATCAACTACAACAAGAGAACACCAAGTGTTCCTACCGAAGACCCTTCGGCACCCAGTGCCGAGGGTACACCTCCCTCATCAAATATCGAAACGTAGAAAAAACACCAAGTGTTTCACAGAAGACCCCTCGGCACCAAGTGTCAGGGATATGCTCTCCTAACAGCTTCCGAACATCTATTGGGAAACACCAAGTGTTTCATTTGAAGACCCTTCGGTACCAAGTACCGAGGGTAGACACCTACATCAACTACAACAAGAGAACACCAAGTGTTCCTACAAAAGACCCCTCGGTACCAAGTACCGGGGGCTACACATCGAAACTAACACCAAGTGTTGTTTCTAAAAGCCGTACCCCACGAGGACGCATATACCGAAGGCGCCACCATCGGTGCCGGCGGCACGTAGTGCCCCCGGCCATTTGCAACTAGTGTGAAAATGAAAACCCTTCCTTGAAACGCTTTCCGCGTCACTACCCCCAGGGTATGACAGGCATGAGAAATGCCAAGGATTCGACTTTCAAAAACGGAACGCTATCCGCGTCATTTCCCCCAGGGTATGACAGGCATGAGGAATGCCCAGGATTCGACTTCCAAACCGAAACGCTCCCCGCGCCACCACCCCAAGGGTGTGGCAGGCCACAGACTATGTCTAGCGCCGAGGGGATGACTTTCAAAAATGAGGCGCTTTCCGCGCCATCCCCCAAGGGGAGGCAGGTTACGGACCACCATATCTTGTGCCCAGGAAACGTCCCTCGATCCCCTCGGCACTCGGAAGGTTAACCCGAGGGAGGAGAGCCATTGGTGTATTCTGATGGTCTCCTAATAGGCCCAGCCTTACCAAGGAGGGATTCCATTTCCCGAAGGCTCCCAAGGGAGATTTTGCACTTAGAAGATTTTCTAAGTCCTGCATATTTCCCCCCGGTCAACTACTCATACATCATGAAGGGATGCCATCTCCCGAAGGCTCCCAAGGGAAACTCTACACTTAGAAGATTTTCTAAGTCCTGCATATTTCCCCCCGGTCAACTACTCATACATCATGAAGGGATGCCATCTCCCGAAGGCTCCCAAGGGAAACCCTGCACTTAGAAGATTTTCTAAGTCCTACATATTTCGCCCTCATCTCGAGGGACCTAATTGCTGAAGGCTACCTATCAATCGAGGGCTACAGTTCACAAGGAATCAACACTCAAGAAAATCTTCTAAGTCCTAAAGAATTAGCCCCCGGCCTGCTCAATATTACAGGTGGGGCTCCACAGTAGCCGAAGGCTACATGGCATACTACACTTGCAAAAATCTCTAAGTCCTGTGCATTGGGCCCTCGGTCCATTATTCACACATAAGGAATGGGCGCTATATCCCGAAGGCTCTCAAGGGGGAATCTACACTTCGAGATTTTTCTAAGTCCTAGGAGGTGGGTTACTACAAACACCCGAAGGCCTCATGCTGTGCTACACTTAGAAAAAAATTTCTAAGTCCTAATTGCTGCCGAACCACCGGTTGCATATCCAGCGGAGGGTGCCCAACTACCGAAGGCTCCCAAGGGCTAGCTACAATCAGATGACATTCTAAGTCCTAAGACATACATTCAAAGGAACAAGACATACATTCAAAACAAAGACGAAGGCATACATTCAACAATGAACAGATCAGAAGGAAGCATATCATATACACCAAGCCCGAAGGCAATCATTCAATTACAACACAAAAATAGTCAATATGATCATTACAGAGTGTGGCCAAGGCCGAGGGGCAACAAAAATTTCATTACAAGGTTTTTTTAAAAAGAAAAGATTTGACTAAGTGATAATCTTCTCGACGGCTTCAGCCTCGTTGTCACCGGGGGCATCTTCCCCGACAGCCTTGGAGGAGACTTCTTCTCCGGCAGCATCACCCCCGATGGCTCCAACCCCGTCACCCCCCATCATCACAGAATCATAGATTGTTGGCCGCTCTTCACCCGGGGGGAGGGGAACTCTAACATCTGGTTGCAACGGAGGGAGGCCATATACCGAGGGGTCAAATTGTTCGAGGGATACGCCGAAGTGCCTGGCGAGCCTCCGGTATATCAGGTGCTGGGTAAAGAACTCACCCCCCTGATAGTAGGCGTCGCCCCTATCGGTCAGCCAGTCTACCCCGGGGACTTCAACCCAAGCATCCACCGAGGCTGCCACCACGGAGGCAACCCACTCCTTGTGGCCCTCGGCCCTCCAGCCCTCAGCAAGGAACTCCGCAACTGCCTCCCCTCGGGCCTCGGCCGCAGCTCTCTCCTTAGCAGTTTGGGCTTCATCGGCGGCTTTCTTCGCCGCCTCGGCAGCGGCCCTCTCGGCCTCTGCCTTGCCTTTGGCTATTCCATCAGCCTTGGCCTTCTCCGCCGCCGCCTTCGCCTCCCGAAGGGCCTCCTCCAGCTGGGCAGCATGCTTCACTGCCTCAGAGTTCTTACGGATCAGCCCCTCCACCTTCTTATCCTGGGCAGCCTCGTGGAGACGCCTTTCCTCACGCCTCCGGGCCTGTTCCCCGAGGGCTATGCAGGCCTGCAAACAATGATCAAAGGAGTTAGATTGTTCCTCAGGAAAAAATAAGACTAAACTGACAAGATAAGGAAAAAGGAAGCGGATACTTACAGTGAGCGAGGACCGGAGGATCCTGTTCTCGAGGGCATCGTCATCGTAGGTCTCGAAGACTTCCCTGTCCATCTTCGAGGTGATGCCCCGCAGGAAGGCCTTCGGCTCGGCAGTGCCGTGCATCAACTACGCGTCGGGGGCAAAGGAGAGCTGACGGATCTCCCGGGGTGATTCCGCCCGGGGGGGATTTACCGGATCCTTCGGGGGGACCGAGGCCAGAGGCTCACCAGCAGCTGGCATGTCATCAATAACTATGAGGGGGGCCGCCCCCCCGACAGCACCCCCGGCGCCTTTCTGCTTCTTGGTAGGGGGCTCCACCCCCTTGTCGCTCCTCTTCTTCTTAGCGGCCGCCTCGGCCTTCGACCCCCCGGTCCCCACAACAGCATGGGCGTTCCCGGCGGAAGGCTCTATGGCCTTCGGGAAAAGCGCGTCAACTGGCTTCTGGCCCGAGGGCCCCTTCTCCTTTTGCTGGGTCTTGCCCTTCCTCTTCGCGAACAAGGCGTTGGCATTCATCCTGCTACCTGCAAAGAACGACAGCAACAAGTTGAAAGGTTAGAACCGAGGGGTCAAACACATGACAACAAACATAACAAAAAAATCTCTAAGTACGAAAATGTAAAGCCCCCGGCCACTACCTCCTGCTCCCACGAAGGCTTTATCGTAGAGGGGATATTTCTCATCGGTCTCCCCAATGAACCGATACATCAGGAATCCGAGGGTATACAGGTCCTCCTCGAGGGTGCACTCCTTGATGGTTACGTTCTTTTCCCGACCCTCGGGAATCTTTGCAATCTTCAGGCCATCCTTCTCGAGGGCGGCACTCTTGGCCTTCACATGGCGCCGAAAGCAATTCCGCAACTCCCTCGGGAACGGGCTGTCGGCCAGTCTGATGAAGCACCATCGCTCTCTCCACCCCTTGTTGGAAGAGGGGGCCTCAGTGAACAGCTTGAACTGGGCTATCTGTTGTAAGTTCGCATAGCCCTCAGCATTTGTATGTCCCCCCCGGCATAGGTTGAAGCTTTGGAAGAATAACTCCAGGCTCGGTGTAACCTTCCGGAGTTTGCACAGGTTCACAAACCCCGTTATGTACGAGTGGCTGTTGGGAGTCAATTGGCAGGGGGCCAGGCCGGTGTACCTCAGGTACTCCCGGAGGAACGGATGGAGAGGGAACCGGAGGCCCATTGAGACCGAAAGCACGTGCACGGCTATACATCCCTCGGGGGGCCGCGACAGCACGTCATCGGGACCTGGCTCGACTACCACGGCTGAGGGCCCTACATGCAATTGGGTGATATAGATGTCCGCCCTGTCAGCTTGGGACTTGATCTCCAGAGCGGCGGTGTCCAGGAAGGAATAACCCTCCGGTAGATCAACTGGCCCCCCCTGATCGACGGTCTTTGTTTTCTTCTGAGGGGCGGCCTTCGTCTTTCTCTTCTTCATCCCGGGGGCCACCCGGAGGGGAACTGCGTTCAACGGCCGGGAGGTACCGGCCTCACCAGCACCCCGAGGGGGAAGGACGGCCACAGTGACCTTCGCCCTCTCCTTTTCTTCTTCCTCCTCAGCAACCTGGACGGCGAGGACTAACTCCTCATCTTCCGCGGTCCGCTCGAATTCCTCCGCCTCGGCCTCGGCCGTCAGATCCTTCTGCACCTCAGTGGCGAGGGCTACATCACCACCATCCGAGGGCTGACTGCTGCTGGACTCCACGTCGGAGATGCCTTCGTCCTCCATCGAGGGCGTCCTCGAGATGTCCTGAGAGTCACTCTGGGACGACATTCTACACTCTAGCTCGAGGGTTCGGGGGAACTAAGGTTCCTAGTGAATTCTATCTCCTAAACTAAGGGCACAGTACAGCTATGTTAGAAGGAGAAAGGCAGGGAGCACTGACCTCGGAAGCTGAGTTTTGACCGAAGGCTGAACTTTCTCTCTCTAGAAAAATTGACAGAGCTTCGCTAACAAGTTTATCGCACACGGAGGAACGCCTGGCCTTGAGGTATTTATAGGCGATGAATCCGGGCTTGGGCCTGGATTCCGGGCCTCCGGATGGACGCCATCATTACACACCGCCGTTTCACCCAACCGGTGACGCCGCCCACGGACAACCAGCCTTCACACGCCACGTGTGCCACCCCCCCCCCCCAACGGCTATATCCTGTCGTTACATATTCCAACGGCCATATTTCCAACGACTATATTTTGGAAGCCCCCGGGTTTTGTACTTCACTCCACTCCATCAAAGATAGCCTCCGGGTGCACTCACCCAGAAGTGCCCCCGGGTTGTGCCCCACACAGCACATTACATAAGCCTTCGGGATCACCCCTTCAGATCCTAGGGCTGCATATCAGGGCACACCTCGGGGCTTCCCCCTCAGCACTACAAAACCGGGTAGCCCCCGGGGAGTGCCTCATTGACGGATGGCCCATGGCACACAGGTAATGGGAGCCCTCGGGTATCTTCATCACCAACTCATCAACAAACAGTGGGCCCCCCGGTAACAACTTCACTGCTGCCCTCATCTGGCAGGCCCTCGGTCCCTGGATTGAGGGGCTCCCCTTCAGCACCACCAGGACATCAACAGCAAGCCTTCGGCTAATCAACACAGGAGCCCTCAGAAGAGAGAGCCTTCGGCATTCCCGCCATTCTCCATTTTTGCCAAGGTTTGACATTTTCGCTTCATCATTGGGGGAATTCGGTGCACTCTTTTTCCCTCATTAATATTTTTCCCAAAGGGTTTTTCCTAATGAGGTTTTTAACGAGGCATCCCCCAAAATGAAACGAAGAGCGTCAGCCTTCGGCCCACAACAGCAACATAACTACTTCACTCCTTTTCACCACTTTACAAGTGCCTCAAGGAGTGGGGGACTGGAGGACCCCTTCAGGAAAATCATTAAATTACAAAATCTGTGAAATTCCAACAAACAACAAAGCAAGCCCTCAAGTCCCGACATGTGGGTAACTGAGGGACTGCCTTCGCCAGGGACATAAAAGCAACAACTCCTCACCAACTTCAGAGATCACAACGGGATAACATCAAGGGGCGAGCACAAATTACTCCTTTTCCCTCAAGTACCTTTCGGCAAAAGGAGTGAGGGACTCCTGATGGAGTATATGGCCCGGGGAACCCCCGACCCACAGACTCCCACTACTCCAGCAAAGGCCCAACAGGCCCAGAAGGCCCAATTCACAGCGCCCGGAGTACCAAGCAGTCTGCACAACGCGCAGGGGTGCCTTCGGCCCCCTGGCCGAAGGCTCCAAATTCTCACAGAACGGGTTTTCTCAAGCAAACTAAGAAATCGGGAGAAAACGACTAAAACAGTAGCCCTCGGCACTGTGAGCCCTCGGCACCAGGGGTGCCATCGGGAGGAAGAGCCCTCGGCTACTGCTCTATAGCCGAAGGCATCTCGCTCGACAAGATATCCGCCTCACATGCGTACAGATCACCGTACTCTGCACAGACGTCCCATCCAACAGCCGCATTAAATGCGGCCACATGCGGCTGCCAGCGCCAACCAGTTGAGGTGACCCCTCGGCCAATGAGCGCTTGACACGTGTCCCTGCCCGGCATTTATTGCTACTATAAATAGCACCACATTTCCCCATTTGTAACCACGCTGAAAACGCTTAATACATACCGAATATACACTCTCTCTCTTACTTACTTGCTCTGACTTCTCTCTAAGTTACTCCCCGTAGTAACCCTTCGGATATATACCCCGGGTAGACTATCCATCACATGTAATTCTAGATTTGGATGAAAAATTGAATTCAAGCAGATAATGAATTCTGTGTGGTGAAACATGGATAAAAATTAGGCTCTGTTTGTTTCTCGAAGGTGTTGTTTTGCCAGACACTTTTTTCTTACAGAAAATTCAGAGGATAACCCTAAGCAAACAGGCTCTATATTATAGATAACTACCCAATGAAGAAGCTGCTATTTCCTTTTATTCAGCGATCGGAGATCAACTGGGCCGGTGCACAAAGATCAACAAAATTTATTGATATCTACTAGATTTTAAAAGTATATATGTATAATCCTCATATCTGCTTCCTTCACTATAACTTTAATTTGATCTATCTTCCCTGCCCCCTTCTTCTTCCCTTATCTACTCATATTTCCTTTCTTCACCTCTCCCCACTTCTTCTTCCCCTTTCTGCTCCTTTTTCCTTGCTCCCCCCTTTCTCCTAATCCCTCCCCTTTCAACTTCCTTCTAAGCATATCATAACCAAACATTACAGATGGACATGTCTTAAAGGGAATCGACCCTTAGATGGCGGAGTGATTGTCATCATTGGTCCTTCCGTTCCTAGGCAAGATTGAGTGCTGCGGGCCTGCGGCTACATTCGAAGATGGGCATGTCCTCCTACCCCCCACCCAGGGAATGCCCTACACCATCCACTGGTGGCCCCACTTTCCCCTGGGCCTAACAAAATTGGACCAGTTCTTGCAAGCACATCTCTTACTTGATCCAAAAGATGAATCAATACCTAAGACATGATCTCAATCAATAGCCAATACTAAAAACAATACAAGCGTAACCTCACAATGATGGCAGTGTTTATGCTTACCTTTTTCTCGTGTCTAAACCACACTGATAAGGGAATGCTTCGGAGGTAGAACCCTAAACAGCCTGTCATTCATGACATATCATCCAATCAGACCTGCAAGGTGTATATACTTAGTTTTGCCAAATATAATATTTATTTATACTATAATAACGGAAAGTACACCAAAATCTTTTGGGAATAAGGCTTGGATGTTGTTGTATAACAACGAAAAATAAAATATAAGAATGTATCATTTTTTAATAAAATATAACATTATAATACAATATTGTAACAAATGTACTTAATAATAACATATAATATTACCTAATAATATAATTACTTAATAAGCTTTCTTCCTTTTCCCCCCTTTGTCTTCCCCTGTCTACTCATTTTTCCTTTCTTCCCCTTTCCCATACTCCCTTTCCTCCCTTCTTCTTCCCCTTTCTACTCCTTTTTTCTTGCTTCGCCCTTTTCCCATACTCTGTCCGCCCCGAGGTAGTCAAAAACGCGCTAGAGTACTTTTGAGGCCCAAGGCGCAAAAAAACACTTGTCTAACTCATGTCAAGCTCACTATTTAGAAAATATTATGTATACTATTCTAGAGTGATCAAAAATGACATATTCAACATCATATCGAACTAAATGCATTAAAAAGTCATGTTTCTCAATAACAAAGTAACAATCCACAGAAAAAAGTCATGGTTGGATGGTTCACATAAACAAAACACCGAGCAGGGTCTGTTTTGGCTGATTTTGCAAAATGAGGACTACGGGTAGCATAAATTGTAGTGTGTTAAACTATTAACCGAGTTAGATTACATGAAGTTTTATACAATTAAAAAATGAAATGATGATAAGAAGATATAAAGTTATAGACTGTATAATAAGATGAAGCAAAGAGAACCATAAAGTGTTTAAAGAGAACTATAAAGTACGCATAGATGACTGCAAGTGGTAAAAGTAAAGAGAGAAGATAGACTGAAAGAATAAAAAGAAAGGATCAACAAGAAGATGGTAAAATAAATGAAAACTACAATCTGAAAAAGAAAGAAGAAAGAACATGGGAAGATGATGAGGAAGAAGAAACCTTAAGAGTTGACTACAATCTGAAAAAGAAAGAAGAAAGAACATGGGAAGATGATGAGGAAGAAGAAACCTTAAGAGTTGCTAGCTTCAATGGGTTGATCGTTGATTCGTTGGATGTGGTTGCAGCGCTGAACAGGTTGCACGAGTAGAGCATAGGAGAGTAATGATGAAGACGCGCGATAGAAGGCTTTTACCGTGACTTAGAAGGGTTTAACATGGGTTTAAGTTGTTTTGACCTATTATTTGAATGGCGCTAAACATGCGTAGCACCTTATAATTCCTCAAGCGCAAGAAGAGCTGAGACGCACGCTTGTCACGCCTGTGCTGGGAAATGCTTCTCAACTTATTTTTGAATGGCGCACGTTTCTTCTTTCTGTCTTCATCCTCTTGTTTAATTCAATTTTTCATTCTTTCTAATTTTCTATATTTTTCGGTGTTGTCTGTTTGTTCTTGCTCTAATTCTATCTTTTCATTAAAAAAATTGATACCTTTATCTCTTATTTTCTTCTTCTGCTTTATATCTTCTCCTAACAAGTTCTTTTCTTTTATTTTTAGTCCTTCCATTCTTAGCCATGTTCCGAGTGTTGCAGCTGCATCAGAAACTAGGCATGCCCCCCGCCCCGCCCATGGGATGCCCTCCACTATCCACTGGTTTGCCGCACTTTCCCCAGGGCCTGCTCTCCCCTCCACTTTCCCCAGGAACTGCCCCCATTTCCCCGTGGACTGCCCCCCTGCTCCCTTCACCCCAGGATCTGGCCCACACAAACTCAAATTGCATACAAGCAATGGTTTTTAATGGAGTAATCCCCTTCCCTCTTCTCCCTCTTTGTCTTCCATCTTCCTCTTCCATCTTTTTCTCATTTATTATCAAACCATCGTAACACATGTGAACTATGAAATGGAGTAATCCAGAGAACCAAGGTATGATCAAATGCAATACATAGAGAGAGCAACCCTGAAATTCAAAACCATGATGCAGAAAAGATACTCAAACTCAACATAGTGGGGCAATGCAAATAAATCTTGTCTAACTGTCAGCAAGCTAAGTTTACTGTAATTTTCTGTCAAAAAAATCATTAATAGTTAAACCGAGTTGATTTTTCTTTTACATTTCGATATCTCCTTACCCTTCATCTTCTTCTGGTTCCGTCTTCTTCCTCTCTTCCTTGTTCAACCCCTCTGCTCCCATTTTCTACTTATACAGGTTATGGCATCTAGTCCATCTACAATTCGGTGACCATGGAATATAAGTTGTTGCCACTTGTCTTACCTTCAACTGTCTGCAATCAAAGCACGTCAAATCCTTGAGCAACCACCCTTCTTTCTCTTCTCCCTTTCTAACCCCCTCTCACCCACCCCCCTTCGGATACCCATTCACTTCTCCACTTCTAAAAAAAGATTGTAATGATTGTTTCTTAAGAATGCTGGAAAGGCAGCTATGAAACACTTCAACAAATCATTTGGTATGTTTTGCATTACCTAATTTCAGACTATTAATCAAAATAAAAAAATACATGCCATGAAATAGCGGTGAAACTAAAATTTTCTTCATTAATGCAGCCGTATGGATTTCAGCTGAGTGACTCCTTAAAGCAAAAGTTGTTCCTCTTAGCAAGGCCATCCATGTAATTTTATATTTGGATAAAAAATTTAATTCAAACAAAAAATGAATTCTTTGAGGTGATAGTTGCATACAAATTGGGGTCTGTTGGCTTCCCAAAGGTGTTGCTTTGCCAGACACTTTTTTGTTTCAGAAAATTCAAACGATAACCTAAGCAATTCCTTTTATCAGCCGGATCGGTTCATAAAGATCATAACTGTATTAATATTAATTATAATACGGAGTATAATAACATATAATATAATAATATATAGGTTTACTTTTGCTTACCTTTTCTTGTTCACCCCTTTTTTCTTCTTGCTTTCTTATAAGTGCCTATTGCATGAGTGAGATGCTAATTTACCTCAACAACAATACCTGAATGAGAAGAGACACATAAAGCACCCAAATGTCCAGAAAACATATGACCTCAAAGAAGAAGAACTTACAGACCACAAGTCCCAGCCCAGGCAGTTCCCCACATATGGATGCTTTCCGTATTCTCTGCTTCGTTACCTCCCAGAGTTAATCAAATAGTGCACCACACGGATTAGGAAGATCGCCATTAGAAACCTGTTTTTCAACTAATTATCTACTATACTCCAATGACTTTAAATGACCTTCTGAAAACACACACAGGCAAGTCTTCACCTTTGGCTGTGCGTCAGAATCCTGACCAGCACCTCTCAAAGGGAGTCCGGGAGGTGCTTCTCCTTCCTTTTAATTTAACCGCCTGTAACAAGAAAACGCGCTCAAATTTCCACACATGGAAACAAAATCAGATTGAAATTTGTGAGCTAACAATAGTCACATATCCTTAAGAAGAAGCACAAGAGCAAATAAAATTGAAAATACGCAAAAAGGAAAATAGAGCTAGAGAACCAGGCAGTGCTTGTGATGGTTCAAAAAATCACTTTTCAGCTTCTTGCTTCAAAAACGTTAAACATAAGGTTTTCAAACACGTGCTTGCGCTTAACTTTCTTGTAAATGCTTTTCGGTTTTTCTGTAGCTAACTCAATCTTTTAGCCCTAAACATATATGCAACAATTATCCTACTCCTACATGACAAGACAAAACAGAGCATGCGGAAAAATTATACATTTTGGTACTTCCACTGAATATTACATTACAAATCACTTTTCTACCGAACTTTTACTTTTAATAAAAAATCACTTCCAATTTAAAACACTGCCGGCTTTTATCAAGCGGTTTCTCTATAATAACTTTTCACTAAGAAAAATAACTTTTTTAGGAGCACAATAAATAGCAAACACTTCCTTAATATCGCACATAGTTATATTATATCTATATATCTAAAGCAACTAGACCTTGGAGTTACTTCAGAACATGCAGCACTCTTACAAGCAATTAAAGCACACTACAGTATTATGCCCCTAAAACATAGACATTTCAGTTGCATTGCACACTACAGACAACACGTGAATATGCCCACTAAAACATAGATATTTCATTTGCAGCAAACGATAAATTATTCAAGTTCATCATCAAAAGTTCCTGTTAGTAGTGTCATTGTACTCTTTAAGGCCATGCAATGACATCAAAAGCATAGTCACTCACAACTTGATCTCATTTGCAGGTAGTCCATAAATTTCTACCCGAAAATTTGCTCCATATTTCATTGAACTATTCAAAATACGCAAATACCAAGTCGCCATTAGAATGCAACACCTACATAATAGTCCTCACCTTCATACAGGGTAGCTAATAGTGTACAAATACAAAAAAATGGAACTCAACGCTAGTTATTATATTCCCACTTGAGCATCCTCTTGTTATACAAGTGACTAGCAGCAGGGTATAATCTCCAAAAGAGATCAAGTAATAAAATTGAACACTCCCTCCATTTTCATTTAATTGTTCTGCTAGGCTTTTAGAGATTTTAAGAGTACGTGCATAGTATATAAAGAGACAAAAAAAAGTAGGAGAAGAAAACATGAAAAAGTAAAAATAGTAGGAGAGGGCATGAAAAAGTTAGGGGCACTTATGGTATTCACAAAACCTTTATTCTCCAAAAGCGGGAAATGGAAGAAATACACTACAACTTCTGAATAGAAAGCTGAACCCTTAAAGGAAAACGAGGGGAGTAATTGATATGAGAAAAGCCAACTAACCAATTCTGATTAAAGCACAACCTATCTCAGTTTTAAAAATGAACTCAGTACCAAACAGATTTGTGAACAAGATCCAGCCTCAACATTGAATAGCCTTCAGCAAATATGACACATGATTCAGGGGAAATTTGGAGAACAAAAGAAAGGAGGCCACAAGATTACCTTAACCTCCACAATAGCTACAGTACTAGGGACACACAAAAATCAGGGATGAAACTCTACTCTGTCCTTCCAGTCTCCCACCCTACTGGATAAATAAGTATTTTCTCATTACCAAAGGGCAAGGGCATTGCCTTTCCGCTTGTGGAAAAGGCAGGGTATTTTACTATTTCTTGTTATCTCTGGATGTTCTCATCACCGTCCATTCCATTCTTAGTCCCAAAAGAGTTTGTCGATTCAGGTAAGCTGATCCCAAGTTGTTTTGGGACTAAGCCTGGGATATTATCGTGTATGGAACATCTGACACCGATGGACTGTTCTAAAAAGAAAGCGGGAATTCGAACCGTTGTTACCAGCAAAAAGAGACCACGGAACACTTGTTTCTTTCAAAGTAACAAATCAGAAAAGCCTTGATCCAAGTAATGTGATACCAATGGACTGTTCTAAAAAGAAAGCGGGAATTCGAACCGTTGTTTTTACCAGCAAAAAGAGACCACGGAACACTTATTTCTTTCAAAGTAACAAATCAGAAAAGCCTTGATCCAAGTAATGTGATACTTATTTGTCAAAAAATATAAAAACTTGAGTTTCAAATTTTGAGGTAAACTACTATTCCACAACACAACAACAGCAGATATTCCACTACTATTTTGGTACTAATGTATTATATTCCCATACTCCCGAGCACTACAATACAACAGGAGACATCCCACTCCTATTTAGAGGGTTCTGCTGTACAATCAATTACATTGGTGTCATTAAGGGTCGAATTCTGACTGACAATAATGAGGCAAATAAAAGTAAACCTTATGGATAAAACTAAGCATGTCAACTGCTGCAAAACTTATTTCAGATGTTTAATGTGGACTTCAAATCAAACCTTACCGTGTTAGGTAAAAGGTATTGATCAAGAACATGAATTGCTATGGATACTTAAGTTGAGAGAACACCGTGAATAATGAGGCAAATAAAAGGAAACCTTATGGATAAAACTAAGCATGTCAACTGCTGCAGTACTCATTTTCCTACTTTCCTTTCCAGTTCCTTTTCCCTTACTTACTTCCCCGTTCCTTGTCCTTCCCCATTTCTTTCCCCTCCCACTCTCCTCCTTTCCCCCCGCGCCGTTGCCTCTCCCCCCCCCCCCCCCCACGGGGAGGTTTGGCAACACCGTGAATAGACAAGGTAGATGATACAGACAACCTATGAAAAAGTAAAGTTCAGCAAAAAATAGAAAACTGATCATTAATTTATGCAAGGAAGAATGGTAGAATACCATTCACAGAAAAGCTTTAGTAATTCTCCAGGGCACATCGCTCCTTCATGGCCATCTATCTGCCAGGATTTCCTTTTGCTGAGTATCATAAGACCTGCAAGGGTGTATATGCTTAGTTTTGCCAAAAATAAGGTTTCTTTATACTCACTTATTTATGTATTCATCTGTTCTTCTTTTCTTTCTTTCCTTCCCCCCGTTCCTTTTCCCTTCCTTCCTTTTCCAGTTCCTTTTTCCTTTCTTCCTTTTCCCCCAACTCTATTCCTTTCCCATCGCACCCTTGCTACCTGCCATATTGCCTCGGCGACAAGGCGCCCGCCTAGACGACAATTAGGCGACTGGTATAACTATATATTTATAATTATATACACAATTATATATATAATTATGATATATTTATATAAGATATATAAGATTTTATTGAACTATATTTAATTCGTAATTTATTATACACTATGTGTTATATATGATACTCCCTCCGGTTTCAAAACAACTTCACACTTTCCTTTTTGGGTAGGTCCAAAATAAACTTCACACTTCTATTTTTGGCAACATTTTAATATAAAGTTACCCTTATACCCTTACTTTATAACCTACTTTACACCAACTTTCTCTCTCCCACTATATTTTATCTACTTTTGGGGCGGCATAATTAGAAAGTCAAAAAAAAAAATCCACTTTTTAAACCGTAAAGTCAAACTATGGGAAGTTCTTTTGGGACCGGAGGGAGTATATTACTAATTAAATTGTATATTACTGATGCTATATTGCATAATAATTGTATAATAAGTATGAATGTACTTTACAAAAAGTTAAATTACATAAAGTCTAATAGTTTATTAATTTCTACAAGTAACATACAATAATAGTACCCAGCAGCCTATGCTCTCAGCCTCTAACTTTATGTGTATGTACTAGTATGTATATACTCTGCACATATACAAATATATCAGCTAGACAATAATAGATGGGGACCTAGTAACGTACTGTTCGTCTACGCAAGGGAGTGCAACTTTAGGAGTTCTACGCTTTTTCTTCTTCGTACGAGTCTGGGTCTCTAGACTCTGCGTCTTGACGGTCTTCTAAAATTACTATACTTTGTTTCTAAATAAAACCCTAAAGCCTTAAATCGGCGATTGCGGTTAGACTGGCCAAAACAGCGCCTTATCGCCAAAGCGCGCCTGGACGACGTCATGATCGCCTTCTCTTCTTCTGGCGAGGAGAGGGAACCCGGCGACCACTCCAGAGCGCCAGGACGCCTAGTCGTCCCTGCCCCCTTCTTCTTCCCTTATCTACTCATATTTCCTTTCTTCCCCTCTCCCCCTTCTTCTTCCCCTTTTTGCTCCTTTTCCTTGCTCCCCCTTTTTCCTAATCCCTCCCCTCTCAACTTCCTTCTAAGCTTATCATAACCAAACATTACAGATGGACATGTCTTAAAGGGAATCTGACCCTTAGATGGCGGAGTGAGTGTCATCATTGGTCCTTCCGTTCCTAGGCAAGATCCGAGTGCTGCGGGCCTGCGGCTACATTAGAAGATGGGCACGTCCTCCTACCCCCCACCCAGGGAATGCCCTCCACCATCCACTGGTGGCCTCACTTTCCCCTGGACCTGCCAAAATTGGACCAGTTCTTGCAAGCACATCTCTTACTTGATCCAAAAGATGAATCAATGATCTCAATCAATAGCCAATACTAAAAACAATACAAGCGTAACCTCACAATGATGGCAGTGTTTATGCTTAGTGCTTACCTTTTTCTCGTGTCTAAACCACACTGATAAGAGAATGCTTCGGGAGGTAGAACCCTAAACAGCCTGTCATTCATGGCATATCATCCAATCAGACCTGCAAGGTGTATATACTTAGTTTTGCCAAATTTAATTTTTATTTATACTATAATAACGGAAAATACCCAAAATCTTTTGGGAATAAGGCTTGGATGTTGTTGTATAATAACAGAAAATAAAATATAAGAATGTATCATTTCATAATAAAATATAACATTATAATACAATATTGTAACAAATGTACTTGATAATAACATATAATATTTACCTAATTTTTGAGGCGCAAGGCGCAAAAAAACACTTGCCTGACTCATGTCAAGTCCACTATTTAGAAAATATTATGTATACTATTCTAGAGTGATCAAATATGACATATTCAACATCATATCGAACTAAATGCATTAAAAAATCATGTTTCTCAATAACAAAGTCACAATCCACAGAAAAAAGTCATGGTTGATGGTTCACATAAACAAAACACCGAGCAGGGTCTGTTTTGGCTGATTTTGCAGTATGAGGACTACGGGTAGCATAAATTGTAGTGTGTGAAACTATTAACCGAGTTAGATTATACGAAGTTTTATACAATTAAAATATGAAATGATGATAAGAAGATATAGAGTTATAGACTGTATAATATAAGATGAAGCAAAGAGAACCATAAAGTATGCAAAGAGAACTATAAAGTACGCATAGATGACTGCAAGTGGTAAAAGTAAAGAGAGAAGATAGACTGAAAGAATAGAAAGAAAGGATCAACAAGAAGATGACAAAATAAATGAAAACTACAATCTGAAAAAGAAAGAAGAAAGAACATGGGAAGATGATGAGGAAGAAGAAACCTTAAGGGTTGCTAGCTTCAGTGGGTTGATTGTTGATTTGTTGGATGCGGTTGGAGCGCTGAACAGGTTGTGCGAGTAGAGCATAGGAGAGTAATGATGAAAACGCACGATAGAAGGCTTTTACCGTGACTTAGAAGGGTTTAACATGGGTTTAAGTTGTTTTGACCTATTATGTGAATGGCGCTAAACATGGGTAGCACCTTATAATTTCCAGGCGCAGTGATATGCCTCAGGCGCAAGAAGAGCTGAGGCGCACGCTTGTCACGCCTGTGCTGGGAAATGCTTCTCAACTTATTTTTGAATGGCGCACGTTTCTTCTTTCTGTCTTCATCCTCTTGTTTAATTCAATTTTTCATTCTTTCTTATTTTCTATATTTTTCGGTATTGTCTATTTGTTCTTGCTCTAATTCTATCTTTTCATTTAAAAAATTGATACCTTTATCTCTAATTTTCTTCTTCTGCTTTATATCTTCTCCTAACAAGATCTTTTCTTTTATTTTTAGTCCTTCCATTCTTAGCCATGTTCCGAGTGTAGCAGCTGCATCAGAAACTAGGCATGCCCCCCACCCCGCCCACGGGATGCCCTCCAGTCTCCACTATCCACTGGTTTGCCCCACTTTCCCCAGGGCCTGCTCTCCCCTCCACTCTCCCCAGGAACTGCCCCCATTTCCCCGTGGACTGCCCCCCTGCTCCCTTCACCCCAGGATCTGGCCCACACAAACTCAAATTGCATACAAGCAATGGTTTTTAATGGAGTAATCCCCTTCCTTCTTCTCCCTCTTTGTCTTCCATCTTCCTCTTCCATCTTTTTCTCATTTATTATCAAACCATCGTAACACATGCGAACTATGAAATGGAGTAACTTTATGTGTATGTACTAGTATGTATATACTCTGCATATATACGAACATATCGGCTAGACAATCATAGATGGGGACCTGGTAACGTACTGTTCGTCTACACAAGGTAGTGCAACTTTGGGAGTTCTATGCTTTTGACTTCTTCGTAAGAGTCTGGGTCTCGAGACTCTGCGTCTTCACGGTCTTCTAAAATTACTATGCTTTGTCTCTAATTAAAACCCTAAAGCCTTAAATCGGCGATTGCGGTTAGACTGGCCAAAACAGCGCCTTATCGCCAAAGCACGCCTGGACGACGCCATGATCGCCTTCTCTTCTTCTGGCGAGGAGAGGGAACCCGGCGAACACTCCAGAGCGCCAGGACGCCTAGTCGTTGACTAGACAACGCCTAGACGACGCCGTAACAAGTATGCCACTACCAAAGAGAATTGAAAGTAAAGACACTTTTCTCCAATGAAAGTGAAAGGTTTAATTCCAACCAATCAACAAAAAGGACATATATTAAGAAACAAAATTTACTCAGGGGTTCCCTTTTCTTATGGGAAAATATTTTCCTAGAATATGTTTCCTGATTTCCTATGTTTGGCACATGATAATACTATCCAAGAAAACATTTTCTGGATTATAGCGCGCCCTTTCTTTCCAAAAAATAATTTCAGTGTTTAGCAACATAAACCCCCCCCCCTGATCTTTTGATACTTTGTGCAAACTGTTTTCCTGTTTTGAACAGGGGAAGTAACTTTCCTCAAACAATTTTTTGGGTCAAACATTATATTTTAAATAGAGCAACTTAATTTCCACGCAAAACAGATTGCAGGACAAAAAAATTTCCTGGAAATAAACAGAGCCTTAAGTGACAAATATTTGGAAGAGAAGAAGTCATGGTCCATGAGTCTATGTTTGGAAACAACCAAGTTACCATAAAGTCACACAGATATGAATGGAAGAAGGAAGAGAACCTTGTCAGCTTCTTTTATTGTTCCTGGTAGAACAACACCTTTAGATTTTGCCCATGCTCGTGCACCTTCACCAACCAAAAACCTACAGAAGTGTTGGTAAGCTCATTCCGGACACACAGACACACACAATATGTTATCTTTAGCTAAGTCATCCTAATTCTAAGAGGTGAGATTTAATCTATTTCACATTTATGCATGACTCATTAGACAACCCATTTGAGATACTCAAAACACCCTCCAACCCAAGCCAAGGAGGAGAAGTTAAGGGTGAATAAATGAGCCAAATTGAATCCCAATTCTCAAACCATAAAGTGGAAACACTCCACATGTAACCATCAAATCGGGTTATAATAACACACTACATAGGGTCTAATTCACCTCAAAAGAATCTTCAAGAGGTAAGTTTTACATCATACTTAGAAATTAGACTCAAATCCAATAAAGAGCTGATGGAATATTCAACCCAACAAAACAAGAGCTAGATTCATTTTAAGAAGAATACAACTAAGGTTCAAAGAAAGAGTAAACCATACATGGGGGATATCCGACCCAGCAGTGTTGAACCGGAAAGCTGGTCCTTGGCTAATAAATAATGCAGCAATCTGGATGGCATTTCTAACACCTGCCAATAATTAACTTCACAAAAAGGTGTAATGACTGTTACAAGTAAAAACAAATGCTCTGAAGACCATAACTTACATCATAATTGCTTTTCAAATAAAAAATGACCAATTAAAGTTGAATATTGGTGTACCTGGCACTGCCCCTACAGCACCAAATGCTCCAGAATCACCATCCATTATGCTTGCATCACATTCCACATTACCCTCAGTCAAATTTGAACCTCACCCAGCATTTGTATTTGGATCATCCTGAAAGGGTAGGTCATGGTAAACCACCAAAAAATCCGTTACAGCATAACGACCATTTATTTGGTTACACGTACACAGTGTACTCAAATGCTATGAGTGTAACTTTTCATTCAAGTTCTGTTAATGTACACTGCTAGGTGGCGAGGAAGTGTGAAATGGGAAATGCAGAAACATCACTTTTTAAATGAGAAAAAAGGCGTTATAAAGGCTCCATTAGAGTTTCTTAAGGCGCGGTTTGGAAACTGTCGAAAAACAATCGTAATACTATGGGAAAGAGATAGGAAGGGCTATAGAAAAGATTGAAACAAAAGAAAGTGTGATGGGGGGATAACATTGATTGAAACTCAGTAAACTTATTTATACATTAGTTCAATCTCATTTCACTTGTCTATTTTTAACACCCCGTGCATAGAGACTAAGAAAGCCAAACAAATAAATTAATACTTGAAAGCACTTGCATCTCTTTCTAGCTAAGCAGAAAGTCTAAAAGAAACAAAGTTCAGTATTACTGTGTACATATATTTACATTGTCCAAATTTAAACAAAGCCATTCATGACAGCAGAGCCAAAAGTTATATGGAAATACATGGGACCACAAGCAATGCTAGGAAAAGAAAAGAATGTGAAGGAAAATGAAATATGAATACCTTTTTCTAACGATTTTTTGACAAATGACAAGCATTTAGATTTCTTATTCTTTATGTAATAGATTATCGACTAATTTAAATACAATATATATCTTTTATTCTCCCCTAATTTTTCTTTCATTTTAGATATATTAATCTGTGTTTTACCTCCTTCCCCCTGTAGTATTTCAGATTCCAAACAGACCCTTACCACTTAGTCTGATGAGAAGTACGTAGTACAACTTATCCTAGTATATTATTATTTTTATTATTATACTTGCTTATTAATTACTTGTTAATATTCCTTTCCCTTTCTTTCCTTCCCCGTTCCTTTTCCATTTCCCTTTCCCTCTTTCCTTCCCCGTTCCCTTTCTTTCCCTTCCCTGTTCCTTTTCCCTTTCTTTCCCTTCCCCGTTCCATTTCCCTTCTTTCTTTCTTTGTTCCTTTTCCCTTTCTTTCTTTCCCGTTCCTTTTCCCTTTCTTTCTTTCCCGTTCCTTAAAATTTAACTTTCATGAGTTCATCCTTCATTAATTCTTTTTCCCTTTCAGGCCGGTCAATCTAGAAAAACCCCACAAAACCTTAACCCTGATAATTAACTGATAAGTCAAACCACGACTTGCCCACGGTTTAACTTTCATGAGTTCATCCATCATTAATTCTTCTGAGCCTAGCCTAAGCCTAAGCCTAACGGCGCCATAAGCGACGCCCTAACCTAAGCCTAACGGAGCCCTAAGCAGCGCCCTAAACCTACCTACCTAAAACCTAAGCCTCACGGCGCCATAAGCGACGCCCTAACCTAAGCCTAACGGCGCCCTAAGCAGCGCCCTAAACCTACCTACCTAAAACCTAAACCTAACGGCGCCCTAAGCGGCGCCCTAACCTAAGGGCCGGCCCCAAAGGGGTTGCCAGCCCAACCCAGCGGGACAGGACTGAGAAGCCCCGAGTCCCAAAGTTTGGGTGCATTTGGGAGCAACTGTACACTTACATTTATAAGCATGCCAGGCGAGACTTTAAGTTCTCCGTTTCGGTGTGGGAAAAAAATAAGCTGTAAAGCTTCCGTTACGTATGTGTCCAGGCGGACAGTCACCTGCGACAACAAGCTCAGCACCGGCCGGCCCTGCACCTGTCCCTCGATCTTCGTCTTTCCTTGCCCTCCAAATCATATTTTTGCTCAGCAACCATCTCGGCGGCCTCCTCCCCACTCCGTCCGAGCAGCGAGGACCTCAGCTTATTGCTTTCTGCACTCCGTCCCAGCAGCGACCCCTCCCTCCGGGCGCCACCCACTCTGAGTAATTTACCTTGTTTTGGATCCGGGGAGGGAAGAAGCGGGTCTGAAAGGCCACAGCTTACCAGTGAAGTGAAGTGAAGTGAAGTGAAGTGATAATAGGGGAGGGGGAGCTTACCAGTGAAAAAGCGGATCTGAATAGGGGAGGAGGAGCTTACCCGTGAAGGGATGATAAAAATTTGTTTTTGTTTATATTTGTTTCCTGAAATCTGGCTTGTGTGAAATTGAGGAAAATCCAAACTGCTTGAAAAATGGCCAGAGCAGTTCAAAGGTCTTGATTTCAATAATTGTGCAAAAATGGTGTGCGAAAAAAAATGCTCGAGTGAATGACATTGTGGCGATCAAAACTCAAAAGTTGGTTTTGAAATGAAAAATTGTCTCTTTTCAAAGAGTCACATTTAGCGTATAAATAAAAGGATCACGTTGAATTGAGGAGAATGGGAAAAAAATTATTGTCATTCCTTCCCTTACTCTATTACTCTTATCTGCAGTATTAGTAATAAAGTGTTTAGACCACTTTATAATTATTGTCATTCCTTCCCTAGTCGGATTTGCCAAATCCGACTCCCGTATTCTGGTAACTTAAAGGGAACTCCCGTATTTTGCCTTGTCAGACGGGAAAAGCCCGTATTTTGGTAATTTCCTCCTCAAAGTATGTATTATTGGTTTATAATTGATAGTTAGTATTATTTAAGGTTATTTTGTCAAAATGTAAGTGGAAACTTTAATTTGTTCTGAACCTTCTTAAAAAGGAAATGAGAACTTTATTTAGAACGAATGAGATTATATTACTCCGTATATTAAAAGGTCTAAGTCTAAAGTCTTAAAAATCCAATGTGCTAAGGTAAATTTTAAAGTCCAAATCACAAATTATTTGACAAACCATGTTCATGAAATTTAGAGTTCTATACTACGGAACTAGTATTTAATACAAGTAAAGAAAACAAAAAAGAGTTTCATAAATTTTTTTATGAAACTCTTTTGATTAATACTCCTAATATTTCAGTCATCTCTTGATTAATACTCCTAATATAATTTTTTCATGAATCAACAGAATCAGCCAATACGGCCACTTCAGCCAGAATTTCATAAATTTCAGCAGAATAAGCCAATTCAGCCAATTTGATATGTTGTATTGTTGTAAATCATTTATATTTAAAATAGTTTTAATTAGACTGAAAAATCTACGACGTAACTGGTAAAATTTGATATGTTCACATATGGGTATAATAGTAAAGCAAGACTCTTAATAGGTGAATTAGTAAAAATCGTATAAGAGTCTATAATAAAGAAACTGTGTTACAAGTTGCTAAATCACAAAAAATCATTTAAAATAGATTAAAAGTACTTATTGAATAAACTTGCATATTAAATTAGAGTTAAATTCACCTTATAGTGTATGTGAATAATTTTCAAATTGAATGAGGACAAATGTTTTTTTTGTTAGGAAAGTGTCTTCTACGTTTTAATTATTTTGATAAAAATAAGTCTACTATGAGTGATTCATTAAAAATAAGGTTACCTCACACGAGTAAAAGTCATCTTTTTGCCTACTTTTTTACCAACTTCAGTTTGAATAAAACAAAGCAATTGAGAAATAATTGAGGTCCCCGCATTTTATCTTCAACAAGTGTTACCTTTACATTTAGTCCAATTGTCTCATTTCTCAAGCGGTTTGAATATATTGATTTGCGCTAAAGATGGCGAACAAATCAATCATGCTACCAATGTTATTTACAAGAAAATGTTTCGAAATGTGTAGACTGCGAAAACCTTTTTTTAATATTCATCAATTCTTCTTATTCCAACATATTTTTCGTACCAATTATGATTCGTATCTTTTGCGTAATTAAAATTTTCTGTGTCACATCTGTACTACTTACATTCATTTACACATTAAATAATACTTGTAATGTTAACAAATAATATAATACTCTCTATTATATAGCTATTACTTATTCTATGTCCCGTGCATCGCACCTTAATCAAGCTCAAACACCTTATTATTAAAAGATTTAAAATAAAAATCGAACAGATTTAAAATCGAACAGACCAAAATCGAGATCGACCAAAACGAATCGATAAAGCTGAAACCGACCAAAACGAATTCATAAATCCGAAACCGACGGGAAGTGACTAATCATATGTTATTCGGTTTACGGTTTATATTTTTTAGTTATAAAATCTGCCAAACCAAAATTGGCAAACAAAACTCGTCCAAAATCGGCACACGCTATGGAATCATAAAAAGCACAATATTCACTCGAAGTAAGAATTTGCTCTCTGGAAAGCATCATCCAACTTTCCTATCGAGTCAGCTGCAAAAAGATATTTGATTTGTATATGACATTTGGAGCTAATCTATATCTATATATATAGTAAATCAGAAAAGTGTGGGGGATTTTGGGCGGGAACACCGTAGCTAAGTGTAATGGAGAAAAGTTGGCGGGTGGTGACCATTAATATTGGCGGCTTCGTTGTTATAGAAGAATAGAAAGACAAAACATTTAATGAAACATTAAAAGACAAAACATTATACTCCGTACACGTTATTTGAAAAGACACAAGAATATGAGAAGGAGGGTGACTTTAGTTGAAATTGCCAAAGCATGATTCTATTTTACTTTAATAATAAGTTGTTATACTCCCTATTACATTTCTAACAAAGGCAATAAATCACAATCATGTTGAACGGGAAAGCTGTAAAGTCCTCTTTACAGCCACCATTGTGGTTTCCGAAGAGCCAATATATCACTTTTAGTTTTACGTTAATCCGGCTCAATAAATACAATTAGAAAACATTCCCAATGAAAATACATCAATACAATTGAAGCGGCAACACATTTCGAAGATATTGAAGCCTTCACAATCTACTAAGTGACTCTTAGTATTCTTATTGGAAACACCTTTCGGGGTGGTTCCTATAAAAAAAATAGGATAAGAAGCATAAGAAACACCATAATTATAATGAAAAAAATCTTCACAAGCATAAGAAGCACACAATTGATGGATCTTGATTACTGCTATTTGAAAGTAATTTACTGTGAAAAGATAAACGAAATATGAAGAATTTGTTGAAATAAAAAGGATATAAAAAAATTCAATTTTATATCAAAAATTGAAATTATAAGATGAAGAATACTTATCTGAATAGAGTTTCGGTGTTCTCCAATGAGTTGTATTTATTGATCTTATCATAAGTTTTACATAAGTTTTATGAGGTCTGTGAATTACCTGTTGTCGGTGGCTGTGACTTGGGGTTCGGCAAATCCTCAATGAAGAAGATTACACCGAATGCGGTGATGCTCGAGCGTTAGACTGGTAAAGCGAAAATTTTCTATCCTTTGTAGTTTGGGTGGCTACATCGGGCTTTCTGTAAAAAAAAAATGAAGAGTGGGCTGGAGTTTATATTTGTGTACAAGCACACAAGCAGTATATACAATAGAGTCCAAGTGGTCTATTTCTCTAAAGTTTATTTATTTGCTTGGATTAATACTTTCTATAAGCATATTATTTTAGATTATACTCCGTCTGTTCTCTAATAACTGTCCTCTTAGATTTTTCATGATTGTTGAGAAAAAAATCGTAGGGATAATATATGAGAAAATTACCCTAAGTAGGACTAAAATAATGACAAATTTCTTAAATAGGACTATCAATATTTTATTCCCAAAATATGACTCATTCACTCCTATTTTGGGAAATTTTAATCAAAGTATTCTTTTAATTGGATTAAATCAGTTCTATTTGGGGGGGGAAACATACTTAGTCCTATTTGTGCATTTAAGTTTAGTTTTAGTCCTATACAGGACAATATATAGGGTGTATGATAATTGATAAATGAAAAAGTGAAAAAGAGAATATTGAGAAGAGAAAAGTGGTGAAAACGTATGAAAGACAAAGTAGTTTGTAAAACGATGAGAGTAATAAAAGTGAGGGTATAAAGGTATTTTGATAGAAAAATATTACCAAAATGGAAAAAAGAGACAAGCAACAAAAAACATCTCAAAAAAGAATACGAGACTGTTATTATAGAACATAAAGAGCAGTTTTTGGAAAGATTATTTTACTTTATTGTTTAAAACCACAATAGATTTTATTTTGGTCCACTCAAATGTAAATATATGAACAATGCACTCAAATATAATTCACAGGTTACTAAGCAGTGCTTATTAAGGCTTGCATTAGTAAGCGGCGTGTAAAATATGCATATATACATGTGCACAAGTATATATGCATATAATATGTGGGACCTACCTCTACCCCTACCATGACCCTACCCATGCCACGACCCTCGGGTAGGTTGTGGTAGGCTACAAGCCACGAGTAGGGGGTCAGGGTAAGGGGTAGGGGCAGGGGTTACGCGGAAGGGTACTGGGGGGTTGAGGTGGAGTCGAGGTAAGGAGTACAAGTGGGGGTAGGGGTGGTAAGGGGTTTGGTACGGGGTTAGGGTGGGGTGGTAAGGGATGGGGGTAGGATAGGGTAGGGAAGTGGGGTCGGGGTCGGAGTGGGGCGGGATAAGGTAGAGTTAAGGGTAGGAACGGGGTGGGGTAGAGGGTAACAATAGGGTAAGGGCAAGGAGTAAGGGTAAGGGTAAATTCGGAAACTAAAAAATCTTAAAGTGCCGCTTAATTTAATACATGGGGGTGGTATGCTTAGTAAGCGGCACTTTAAACACCTCTTTCGGTTAGTAAGCAACTTTTAAGCAGCTTGCGTGTTTACTTCACATGTCTTACTAACTTAACTATGACTTTAGCAGCAAGGTAAACGTCTTCTTAAGTTATTTATACTAAGTGAATGGATTAAATGTATCACAGAGATGTTACTATTTTTTGTTAAAATAATGTATTGAAAGAATTCTTTTGAAAGGAATAAGTATGGGAGAAAAAGTATTGATATCGAGTTTCAAAGATGACCGTTATGTCTAACAGTTTCATATGGAATGACGATAAACAAAAATCAAGAACAATATTTGCGTAATAGTGATTGGTCAATTATATGTTGATTTAAAAGTTGTTACATGTGATAAAGATGGTAGAGATATTAATATAACAAAAATGTATATCAAAATATCTTTCAATTTTTTTAAACATTTATCCATCTTATATGTCATATGGATTTTCACTTACACATTTATTTTCCTCATTTTATCATATTTCACATTTCAATATGCTCTGTATCATATTTCACATTTCAATAATGGAGACAACCCTTCACAACTGCACCACAAAGAACTTTTAATTAGAGTCGCTTGCCCAAGCAAATGAATATCTATATTATACACTATAGATTTCTGATTTTTTTTTGCTATGAAAAATGTTAGATTTATACATGTACAATTTTTTTGGAGGATGAATTTATTGTTTTGAATTTTACATAAGTTTTATGAGGTCTGTTAATTACCTGTTGTCGGTGGCCGTGACTTGGGGTTCGGCAAATCCTCAATGAAGAAGATTACACCGAATGCGGTGATGCTCGAGCGTTAGACTGGTAAAGCGAAAATTTTCTATCCTTTGTAGTTTGGGTTGCTACATTGGGCTTTTTGTAAAAAAAATGAATAGTGGGCTGGAGT